GGAAATATAACTAGCCAAAGGGGTAAGGTATAGTGATTGTGCAATCTTGGAACAACTGTCAAGTCTGAAGGGCCCAGAGTCTATATGCATGGGACATTGTATGCCCTTAGGTGACCAGAAACCCATTTCAATATAATCAGTAGCCACTAGGAAGTTGCCTTAAAGAAAGCACTTGTATGAGCCTTGGCTCCATTGTTGCCTTTATGGGAAGTATGGAAGACAAACAATCCAAGGAGTGGCTAGGGTATGAAGAGAAAAGGAGAATCTTGACAGATAATGTTCCTATAAAAATGATGTAAAGTTTTTAGGCTTTTCAATTCATAATCTCATTTGAGCCTTGTATTAATTCTGAGAGATAGGTATCTCAGAATATTATTACTTCCCTTTTTCAGATTAAGAAACTGGTCCTCAGAGAAGTTACATGGCAGTGAAGCAATGTGCTACAGGGAGAAAAGTTTGTATTTGAAGTCATTAACACCTTGGTTCAAACTTAAGCTCTAACACTTATTAGCTGTATGATGTTGGCCAAGTCACTTTACCTATTTGGGCCTATGTAGCCCTCTGTAGCTCTAAATCTTTGATCCTGTTTTTCATTTTAAAGAGAAGGAAACTGCAACTTATAGAGGTGAGATGATTAGTCTATAGTCACACAGTATCTAAGCAGCAAAGCAAGGATATGATCCAAAATTTACTTAATTAATGTCAGCACTTTTTCCACTATTCCAAAGTTCCTCAAAGCATGATTGATTTACACAGTTACAAACAAAGGTCAAATATTTTAATTAAAGGGTTGAATCAGTATCTACTTGGAATTTGCAGTGAATGGGATATTTTATACTATAAACTTTTCCACTAGAATAGAGGTTCTTAAATATGTGTGTTTGTGTTGGAAAGCATATGGACAAGTTCTCAGAATAATGTTTTTTAAATGCACAAAATAAAATGCAAGGTTTTCAAGAAATCAACTATATTGGAATACAATAATCAAAATATTTAAAATATTCAAAGATCTCAGGTAAAGTACATCTGTACCAGAGTATAAGCTCTTTGAAGGTAGAAACCACATATCTTGGATGTCTTTGTATCTTCCGTAGCACCTAGCAAAGTGCCTTGCAAATAGTAGATGCTACATAGATGTTTTCAGTGAATGAATGACTGAATGAATACATATAGGTGGGAGTGGGGATAATTTTAGAGCATTGAGGCTTTCCTGAAAAGCTAGCCAGTTTGAAATGAATGACTCTAAATAGAAACATTAGGAGGTATAAGGAAGGAGAGAGAAAGATATATATAGTAGCTACATTTTACATATTAGAAAACCATAAAACAAAGATGTTTAATAACTTGTCCGAGGTCACACAGTCTTAAGTGTCAAAGGTTGTATTTCGATTCAGGTCTTCCTTCTTCTAAGTTCAGCTTTTTAGGCCCTGTGCCATACTGCCTAATGTCATAGTTTGCTAGAAAGGTTGCCTACTTAAACTCAGTTTCTTTAGGACAGTCTTTCCACTTTATTGCCCCCTTTTCATTGGGAGCAGGAAATGAATAAATAAGAAAAGAAAGGACAAAGAAGGGAAGGTGGTACATTGCTCAAAGCCTGTCACTGTGCAAAAAGTAAGACTACAACTGTCACAGTATGTTACCTTCTTCCCCTTCGTAATCCCCAACAATTCTCTTTTCATATTCAATGTAAACATTTAAAGATTTTCCTCCTAGAATATATATTTCAAATCAAAAAGTGGATCCTTCATCCCAGTTTCAACAAAGGTAGAGGGATACTTGTTCCTATATCATTGTATCATTATCTAAACTCCCAGTCATATAGAAGACATGTTACTGCAAAAACAGTTATCAATAGGAAAAAAAACTTAGAAATGAAATTGATGGAATTTACAAGATTTAAGAAAATGAGATTTGGAAAAGGGCTTTAAGCTTCTGGTAGGCTCATAGTTGATACTGTCACAAATATCGGCTCTCAGAAAGAAGACTGCTCCCAGAAAGTGATGCCATTTTTAGCATAAAAGTATATGTATGTACACATATAGCAGATGTGGCAACTTTTTTTAAACCCTATCATAGACAAAACTTTATCTACCCCTTTGACAAATTTAACCTAGCAGCATTTCAGTAAATTACATATCCAATTCTTAATTAAATAAAACTTCTGCATGTGTTACAATCATCACAGAATGAAGGAATATAGATGACATGGAAATGTAGTTCTACTTTATTGGTAACTAAAGAGCATTCAACTAAGAAAGCAAATTCAAGTACTTTGGTGTGCATTTTGGCACAGAAATAATTAAGGGAATCCACTATAATTTATGGTTTCATTCAGTAGTTGGGTTTTTCCTGAGAAAATAATCAATCTATAGGTAAAGGTTTTTACAAACTTAAGACAATTTGACTTGTGAAAGAATAAAGGTATGATTTGAAACATTACACACATGGGGAATTCAAGGAAAGAAGAGGGGTTTGCATGCTCCTCTTTAAATACACCTTCATTTCCCATTTACTTTAGATAAGAAAAATGTATACACCAAGTAAGAGACAAATTCCATTTTTCATTTAGATGTTAACTATGAGAAGAAAAAACTGAAGTAAAGAAGCACACCACCCATGAGCAGGAAGGTAAAACATATCATCTAGCACAGGGGTTCTTAATCCTTTGGTATCATAGTTCCTTTGGGTCCCTTCTCAAAATAATGTTGGGTATTTAAAAATAATAATTGAGAGAAATGCTAAATTTAATTTAATGGTTAGTGAAAAGAGATATGTAATTTTTTTCCCATGTAATTTCACAGAACTTTTGAAAACTGTCCAGGGGTGAAACCACCAGGACTTTAGGTTAAAACACACTTCATCTAGTGCACCCCATAATCTGAGCAGGAATCTCCTCTACAACATTTCTGGGAAATGGTCATGAAAGATGTCTCTGAAGATTTGTGGTAAAGGGAAACCTATTACCACTTGAGACAATCCATTTCACTTTACTACAATTCTAATTTTTCTAATGTCTAGAGTAAAGAAAACTATATTTCTAAAAGACAGCCTTCTAATTGTTTAAAGACAGTTTTCTCATTGTCCACTATTGTTCAGATTGAACATCCATCCCAAATCCCCTCAATTAAATCTTATAAGTTATGATTTTTGAACCTCCTCACCATCCTCCTCTATATGTCCAAAGTCCTTCCAAGACTGTGTTACTCAGAACTGTGCAAAACATTTCAGAGGTGGTCTAATCAGAACAGAGTTCTTCCTTGTTCTGATATTCAGTATCTGTTATAAAGCTGCCCAAGAAAGCATTCTTTTTTTAATTTCATTTTGTTGTTTATTTCTTTTTATTTTGTTTTGTTTGTCAAGTTATAATGTTGAATCATACTGAGTTTGTGGTCCAATGACACATCCAGATTTCATCACATAAATTGTTATCTAGGCTAGTGGTGTCAAACTCCAAAATAAACAGAACACTGAACAGCATATTAACTTAGAAAACCATAAATTATAATTATCTATAATGTAATGCATTTTAAAATTTACTTTACTAAATATTTCCAAGTTACATTTTACTAGGTTTAGGCCACACTTGGACGGTGAATTTTATATCTTGAACTTAAGACACATTTTTCCCATCTCATACTTGTCCAGCTGATTTTTGAAACAACCCTTTTGGAGGCTTTCCATATATTGCTATTCAATTTCATTTTGTTAGATTTGTCCCATCATTCTAGCTGGCCAAAATCTGTTTGGATCTTGCTTTTATTACCCAATGTATTCGTTATTCCTAACAGCTTATACACAAATTTGATCAGCATGCCACATATGCTTTCATCCAAGTTTAATATAATATATCGAATAGAATAGTGTCACATCAAGAACCTAGAAGTATAGGGCTAGAGAAATTCCTACAGATTGGCATTGACCCACTAGTGACTACTTTTGGAGTCCAATTTGTCAAACTAACTGCACCATCACATAGCCCACATTTCTTCCATATTGGATTATTTAGAGACTATGTTAGTAATTTCTGAAATCCAGGCATATCCCATGTCTACAGAGTTCTCCTGATTTAACAGTCTAGTAAACTTATCAAAACAGAGAACCAAGGTATGTTTCATTTTCCCAAAGATTCCTCTTCTCTTTGGAATAAAGAAAGTTCAATTTTACCAGAAAATCATTGAAAAATTTCCCAGTGGAAAAAGGGAACTTATTACACTTTGGGCAAAATGAGAGTATGTTCAAATGAAGAGGAGAGCATACATGATCAAGATTCAATTTAAAAGGAAACATTCGAAGAAAAAAACAGGAAGTGAAAATTGCTTTGAAATGATTTTTTTCTTATTGCTATCTTTAAATGGTTATTTTTCTAATAACCTGCTTATTGTATGTTTATAGCTGACACAATTTTTTATAAAATAAGCATGTAATAATAACTATCTGTTTTTTAAAATATATTGAATTGTGTTCTGTTTATAAATCATTTCTCCCCTAGATCTTATTTGGAAGTCCTTTTTTAAAATACTATATATACATATATACACACACATACATGCATGTACACATACATGTATACATGCATATGTAAATGTACACATGCATATCTATACATATGCACACAAATATATATACATACAAATGTATGTATGTTCTATGATTTGTATTAGAATTTGAAATATCGAGAAGGACAGTAGAATACAAATTCAAGGAGAAAAACTAGAAGACAATAATCATATGAAATCCTTAGTCCCTTATTTTTTTTCTTTTCAGAAAGAACTCCATGATACATTATATTCACATTGTAAATATGGACATTAATTAGGCATCTGAAAAAAAATGTGTTACATTACATCTTTTTAAGAGACACAAACTCCATAAATTAGCCAAATAAAACATTATTTACTAGTAATAACTTTTTTCAGGAAAAAAATACATAAGTGAAGCTCTTGAAGTAAACTATCCTTGACAATCCATACATAAATCTATCTCTAAATGGAAATCCTTACCTTGACAGGTGCCATTTTTCTCCTCATACCCTGCTTTGCACATGCATTTCCCAATTGGAACCAACCATTCTCCTTCAGCACTGCAATGCATCTTGGGTGGTTCATCAGTCACAGAGTGATTGACACAGGAACCTGACACTTCCAGCAATTGAGAAGAATCTGCTCCAGTGATTGTGTCTGGAAAGAGTGCCAAATTTCGAACCACAGAAGGACACTTCTTGTAGTACACACGCACTGATACTAGAGCAATGCAGGCACCCACATCTTGGAAAGCAAGATAAAATCCCTTTTTGGTCAAAGGCCCAACATCTCTGACTTCTGTATTAAGTTTCATGACTCGGTCACCAAGGTCCAGTTCAGTAAAACTTTCATCTGCAGCAATTGTATCTATCTTGATATACTGGTTTTCTTTGATATTACGCCCATTCTCATCATCAGATTCAAAGTAATACATATTAAAAGTCTCCTTGCATGTCCCAAGTCCTCCTGGAAGGCTATTACAGTCCCTCAGAGTAAATTTGAGTTCTATGAATATTCTGGAAGCACCTTCATTGGAGATCCAACTGGTCAGAAGCCAGTTATTCTGACTTTGTTCCATAACTTTGCATACTTGATAGGTGTGTATTGGGGCATAATTCTCATCAACTTCTCCAATCTCTTCCCACTATACAGTTTAAAAAAAAAAGAGAACAACTTTCATTAGATAGGAACAATGTATCATTTTAACGTCATATACTGCGCTGTCATCATTAATATCTTTTGAAAATGCACATATTAATTTCTATTATCGGTTTAAGTTTATAGAAATGGAAGGGGCATAAAATTCACTCTTTTTCTTCATATTGGCCTGTATTGGAACAAATTACCCCTCTCCTGCCTCTTACCTATAGTCTTCATAGGTTTAGGAACTATGGAAAGAAAACTCGCCAAGGAAGACCTTTAAAAGAAGGTCAAGGAAAAAAGAAGAGTTCTGATGAAACTATTAGGGGAAAAAAGGAGGCAGAGTATATATTTCTGTGTCTCTCATTATGGGTGGAGTTGACATAGAATAAAAATGGGAAGAAAGGAGATAAAATGTAAAAAGAAGGAAGAAAAAAGACAAAGAGAGAGTGGGGAGAATAAAACATAATCTCCATGATCAAAACTCCTAGTTAGTTCAATAAATGCTTATTTAATTATGTACAATTATTATACATATATTTTTGGTCCAGAATTATAATTACATTACTGTAGGTAACCCCTGTGAAGAAGGTACGTCTACCAATGTAGATCAACAACTGTTGTTCAATGTATAGTCTTAAAGTGTTCTTCTAGGTGAACACATTTTGCTAATGTGTGCAAAAGATGGGATTTAAAACAAGTTTTACCTCTCTATCCACTATGCTATTCCTGTTTCTCTATTGCAACAATATGTATTGCAACAATGAAATAGGTTATATCTAATAAATTCACCAATGGGTTTTGTTGTGTATAGGCACTATATGTTTCTTCCCAATTTGGATAGATTTTATCTAGCTATCTTGCTATGTACATAAATTCAGAGAGCCTGGATGTTCCCATATACCAAAGCTATTTCTTTCTGGTATCTTCACAATTAACTAATTCTTTTCAACTAGTGATGAAATCCTAGTAACCCTAAGTAGTAAATCCTAATAGTACCTCCTGGTGTTATGGAGAAATTTACTTCAGCACTTCTGTGGAAATGTAATTTCAGTGGTATGGATGATCACTCTGGCAACAGAGGAGAGCACCACTAGAACTTAGTAGACAGTCTTCAAGAGTTTCTGGGGTCTAGAAAATGTATTACCCTTAAGCCAACCATTTAGTGGATGTCTGAACTTAGATAAACTTTTCCTTGGAGACAGTTTACTAACAGGCATATATCATGGAAAAAAATTACCTTGGGGGAAAATCAGATTTGGTTTTATTTACTTCAGTTCTGAGTGTATCAGGGAAATTGAATTAAACAGATGAAAGAACCCAATGACCAATAATAATTCCAGAGGATCAATGATGAATAATTTGATCCATTTTTTGAGAGAGAAGTGATGGACTCAATATGCAGAATGAGATATACATTTTTAGAATGGCCACTATGGGGATTTATTTTGGTTGATTATGTGTATTTTATAAGGGTGTTGCTTTGTTTCTGTTTTTAAAGGAGAGAGGAGAGAAACAAGAAGAGAAAATGCTTGTTAATTTTTTAAATGTAAAAATAAAATAAAAGTAACAACATGTCAAAAAATCCCACAGTGATGAAATGGTTCTGATCCAGAATTGGTGATTTTGTTATTCCTAGAAGTCTTTTGGAATGAAAAACATTCAAACTTATGTATTTAGATATTAAATACAATATGATTTTCATATTTCTGGTCAATCCATAAACAACTAAAGAGGAAAAAGACATATGTAGGATGAAAATAAATTGTAATTGAATTTATTTTCATGATTTCATGACTCACTATTTCTACTTGGTATCAAAATTCTAACATTCATCAAAGATAGGGCAGATTAGAAAGCACTAAGGAGGTAAAATTGATTATTTCTGCAAACTCACAATGGAAAATATGAAGATTTTCTCAAGGAAGCCACCTTGCATATCACATCATTTTACATAAGCTCTGTTGTTTTCTGGTTAATTTTCATGTATGCTTTTATCCACTATAAGAAAGTGCAAATTTTGTCTGAGCTTGGACAAATCAGTTTTTTGTCCCATGCTTTGTGACAACTCTGATTTCATATTTGTTTTTTTTTTTCCACTGAAAAAATTTATGGTCAAACTCCAATTATTCCCAATTTCCAAGGCTGATATTTCATGCAGAAGGAATATTGCAAAGAGTTAACACATAACATAAATGAGACAAAGTAGCAAAGCTAACCAAGAAAATTCTCAAATTAATATAACTTAAGATGCAGTTAAACTCATTTCCTTTAAATTAAGTGAAATTGAAGAATTATATTATAAAGTATTGGATTCTTTTCTTCTATGCACAACAAATAAAGTCTATCCACAGAACTAAAACCAAAATGCTACATTAATTTGGTACTAGATGTTTCCTCTACGTCTTTAATAGCCCTCAGAAGGAAAACACAAATGGATTTCAGCAGTATGGTGTTAAATCATTTATAGAAGACCTATTTCTGCATCAGATATTGCAGTAGGACACTTCAAGCAAGTTAACAGACCTGGAGGCCGCAGCAGACACTGAAAAAATGATGGTAAGCAATTCACACACTCAGTGTATGCAAAAGCCCAAGATACCACAAATACTATTTTAAAAAGACAAACTACACAGCACTTGACAGAACTGGTCAACAGTCACTTGCTTCAGGTGCTAGTTTTCAAGTATGAGCATAAACATCTTACTTCTCTACATGTTCTCAATTAGATGCAGGGAAGCCATACTTTCCTACAGTAATAGATACTAGGTTTCTTTTTCTTTTTTTTTCTTGTAAAGAGGATGATGAGATAAATGAGGGCCTCTATTTATATGACTGACATTATAATATTAAAGAAAATGTTTTAACTAAAATAATTATGTCTATGAGTGTCTCTATAAGCAATTATGTAAGAAACACAGAACAACTCCCACAGAACCCTGCTCCCATTTTGGCAAACCTGTGTACAAATGTATGGAGAGAATGCATGCCCTCATAGCTCACAGTCCAAAGGCAATGCTTGGGGCTCTCCTCTCTTCCCCACCTTATAATTTATGTTCTCTCAGGAAAAAAAAAAAGACAATTCACTGCCCTCCACACAAATCCTTAATGGGGGAGGAGAATCAATAATTTAGGGACAAACATTAAATTAAACAATACACACAGAAAGATATTTGGTTCTTATGAATTTCTCTGGAAATGCTTACTAAAGTATAGTGACAGATGATGAGATTAGAAAAGGCACTTGAAAATACATTATGGTGATGTGCTGCCACAGGACAATAAATGATGCAAGCTTTGGCTACCTGTCAACTTATATTACATATTTAAATGAGAAACGTCTTTAGACTTTCTACAAAATAAAATACCTATCTATATGATACATATACACATACACAAATTAGGTTACCTTGAAAAAACATGGAGTTTTAAAATATACTTGAGGTGGGATTCTTTTTGAAATAGCCAAAATAATGTATTTATTCACCCTTATTGATATCCTATCCCTAATATGCATCAATTCATTTTACTGCATTATGAATGGACCAAAGAAAAGCTTTTAAATATATTATGCATACCTGCATTTATGTGTGTGTTCATGATTAAAAGAAATCTAATAAAAAATATAGGTATGTAAATATATGTGAAAAGTCTGTTGTTTCCTAAATGGACTTCCCCCTTACAAAGTCAGACTAACCAATTTATGACTTATCCCACACATGTTCCAATCAGAGTGTTGCCTGAGGCACGTAGAATTTGTGTCTAACTCAGGACTTATCGCTGGTAAATATTTTAAATTCAGGTCTTCTTGATCCCCAAATCAATTTTGCTATTTGCAATGCATATTGAATTTGTGTTTATTTATCTATATGCCTATTATCTCTTTTTGTGCATACACATATTTGAATATATAGATATACCTATATATGTATAGATTGAAATGTATATCATATTTTTTTTATTTCACAGCACATAATAAGTTGGTCTTCTTTACTCTCTCTTCTGCTTCTGTAGCTATTTCTCCAAGCTTCACTGATCCACCTTATCACTTCCCTTTCTCCCCCCTACCATCAGAAATCCATAACCTTGCTTTATCCCCACTGCCACCCCTTCCCTTTTCTCTGACAGCCTGTCATTATGGTTTAACCATGCTGAAGATATCTATAAGTTCACCTGTTTCACTGCTGGCAACAAAACAACCAGATGTTCTCTTTAAGTAGAATATTTCCTAAAATGTATCCCCAAATGGGACAGTTCCATTTAAATCAGCACATCCAGTCAGGTACAACCATCAAAGTTACACTAAATGCTTGGGCTTCTTCATAGAATGTCTTTAGACTTCAGATATATAATTGGAGTTCATTAATGATAGTCCTTTAGGGAATGGAGATATTGAAAGTCTCTAAGATAAAGGTAGTAGTCTCTAAGATAAAGGTACTGACAAAGGTAGCCAATTCTATTTTTGGATGGTCTAATAGTTAATTTTGCTTATATTGAACCAAAATATGCCTCCTTTTATCCACTAGAATATTCTTATGTTCTGACACCGTAGAGAATTGTGCTTTATTTGATGGAACTACAGAAATAGAAATCGATTTGTTGAGTTTCTCTGTTTAAAATAAAATACCCTTTTGAATTATTATAAACCCTTCTAAAATTGCAGTGTAGAATGAAACATTTATATAAACAAATGTTTATAGGTACAATAAAGAGGGCTTGTTGAGCAATGTGTGTTGTATACTATATCATAGAGAGTCACCTCTAAGCAAGCATTTATTAAGTATCTTCTATGGACCAGCCATGATACTACAAAATTAAAAAAAATAGCCCTTTCCAGCAAGGAACTTACATTTGATTAAAATAAGATAGCATATATATGAGCACAGAGAATTGTATAGAATAGATGTATAAAATAGACAAAAAGTAATTTCTGGGAGAAGGGCACAAACAATTGGTGGAATCATGACTGGAGTCCTCAGGTTATTGTCATTTGAAGTGCATTTT